CCAGCTAATTTTTGTATTTTTAGTAGAGATGGGTTTTCACCATATTGGCCAGAATTGGTCTTAAACTCTTGACCTCATGATCCACCCGCCTAGGCCTCCTAAAGTGCTGGGATTACAGATGTGAGCCACCGTGCTCAGCCTTGTTTGTTCTCTTTATGGAGATAGTCTCCGTGCCCAGAATAGTGTCTGGAACAGGGTAGATCCTCAGTAAATATTTGTTGAATGAGTAAAAGAATGAATGAATGACTATTAGTTGAGTTTTTCCCCTTTCTTTGAAGCTTCACTTTTTTGCTAACAAAACAACAACAACAACAACAAAAAAGAGAGACTAGAGAATGAATGGAGATGGAGATATGGATGAGGGTTAAGTCTTTGAAAATATGAGCTATTAGTTGGTCTGATCACAATTACATGTATAAATGGAAAAAGTAGCACAGAATATCCTAGTATACAGATAATCAAATCAAGATTTTCATTTTGACTGCATTACATGATATTATGGTTGAATTTTTTTTCCTAATTACTTTTTTCTTAAGAAAGCAGCATAAATACCAGCCATGTGTGCATTCTTTTAAGGTGAATTACCTAAAAAGAATCTATAAATTGAGTACTTTCATTCCCACAAGTACATAATGCATATCATGCATGGAGGTGTTGAATGCAAAGATAACCATGTGGTTCGTATCTTTCAAGAGCTTCAGGAGACTCACAAACCTCTCACTGAAAGTTGACCAGCCCCTGAGCTGTCCACGTATGTGGGTTCTGTGGGCATTATGGTTGGCTGTCTTCTAGACTTCTAGACTTCCAACCCACCCCTTTCCCACAGTGTGGCAGCTAGGCCACTGAGTGGAACTAATTCTACCCCAAGCTGGTCACGGGGATTCATTTAGGGATAGACACAAAACCCAGTGGAGTTCAGAAAGGAGTTCAGACATTTTCCATTTTTGCAGAAAGAGATTTTCTCTCTCCCCCAGGGTGTGAAACAAAAAACTGGTAGCCTTCTTGCTACCAGGAAAGAGGCCAGCATAAGGATGAAACAAACACACAGAAGAACAGGGGGAATCAGAAAAGTTGAACCATAACTCTATTTACTTTGTGAACCTCTGGATCAAACCCTGCCTGATGCCTACCCCACCTCTGCACTCACATATAAATCCAGTAAGCTGGTATAAGCTAGAGTGTCTTTTACTTGCAACAAAAGGCATCTTGAAATGTCTTCTTTGATCTCTTTCAGGCCCTCCCCTCTGCTTCTCACTAGTCCTGTGTGCGTCCTGGAATAACACGTGGGCTGTGCTATCAGTGTTGTGTGTGTCACAGTTGCAATTCCAAATCCTAAGGCAATGAATTGGTTTTCATTTACATATATCTGATATCTCGTTTCTCTGGCATTAATGATTGCCTTGCCATTGATATTAAAAGCATAAAAGCAACAGGGAACTTCTCAGACCTGCAGCATACTTCTCCAGTTGCATTCCTGAGCTTTGCTGATGAACATGCTTTTAAAATGACACCATGGGACTCCCCAGGGAACACTGCGGCTGGGTTGCCTCTTCCAACGGCCTCTCCTAGCCTCGGCCTGAGACCCGAGGGCAATGCTGTCCAGGGGACAGTCAGCCCAGAAAGACAATGTGTGAAGAAACTCAATAGTTCCTTTCCTTATTTATTAGATTCCAGATACATGGGACCAGGATGGAAGAATCCTAGGGCATTTGATTTACATGGGGATCTCTGGGAGAACATATACAGAGGCCGAAAGACGTACAAGGAGGTGATGCTGCAATGGGGAACTGCCATTTTAAAAAATATATACATCTTAAGAAGCCATTCCAGCCATATTATCATTATTAGAAAATAAAACAATCTTTCCACATAGTGCTTTTCTTTGGTGCTGTTCCATGAGCATGGACTCTGGACCCTTCGGTCTTCTTGTCACAAGCTGGTCACCCTCCCCTGCCACTTCCATCTGCACAGAGGGAGGGCGGAGTCTATGGGGAAAGGGGGCCCCCGACACAGGTGGGTGCAGGTTCCAGCTCCTCTAAGGCTCTGCCATGGCCTCCCGACTCTGCTGGAGTCTTGAGAGTCTCTTACTTGGTTCTTAAAGTGTGGCCCGAGGAAGCTCCCTATATGCAAAGATTGGGTTTCACACATGATGAGTTCACAAAGTGACAAAGCCAGTCTGGAAGCTTCAGAATGTATGAGGACAAGGGGACCAAACAAAACCCAGCCATACCACCTTCTCCACGTTTGGATTTTTATGTTTTATTTCTTGGTTCATTTCAAATGACCTGTATCATGAGAGTACAACTGAGACGGGCTGTTTCCTCTTTACAGATTTTCCAGAAATGGCAGGTTTGGGGTAAACTTGAGATCTGTTCCATTGGGGGAAGGGTCCCCTAAACTCTCCTCACTTCACCACCTTCCACTACGTCAGTCCTGTCCCCCGGAGAGGGTCCTCATCTGGCCAGGCTTCCAGGTAAGAAGTTGGCCCCTAAACTTCTTTTCTGAGCGTCCAATGGACCCTTTCAGTACCAGGAACTTTCCCATTGGATGGAGTTCCATTGTTACTGACACGTTTCCTGTTGTGATCTGAGGTTTACGTATAAAAGCAGCTTCCACCTCATGGACACCAACCAACAGGACTTCCGCCCCACTCTGCTAAAGGGGCTCTGAAGTGAGGCCGCTCGCAGCAACACTAGGTCCAGTGAGGCAGTGTGCAGAACACCAACACGCTTCAAGCCAGATGTTACATGGTGAGCCAGAAATGCTTTCCCTAGAAAAGACGGACAGCAGATGCCAGCTGGGCATGATGCCCTGCCGCCTGGGTCCTCCAGCTTGAGCAGGAAGTGACAGAACAGGGTGCCACCTCGGCCCCGCTGCAAGGACACAGCACAGTGAGAGACTGAGGGAGCCCCAAAGTGCACACCCCAAGGTTTCTACTGTGAAGGTTTCCCCGGAGCAGAACCTCGGGGCAGAGCCTCTAAACACTGTGCTAGACTTCGTTTGTAGCTGGTGTTCCTTGATGCTGGGAAGGGGCCTTTGCCCCGAATGTGTGCCTCCACCCAAATGAGGGAAGATGGGCTGCATGGAGGGCCAGGCATGCAGCATCCTGGGTAATGGCTCCGGTACCTACTCATCAAGTGACTCAGACCTGATTCCCCAAAGGCAAGCAGAGCTGTGGGGGACACACCACTGGTCTGGGAGGACTCTTGGAATCCTTAACATTTTCTGTGTGGGACACCATCAGAGAGCTGCTCTGCGGTTTGTGGATTTCAGCCATTCCTCCTGTCTGGGATGACCTCAGCACGTCCAAGCCCGGAAGCCCAGGCTGGGAGGTTTCTGGGGTAGAACCAGGGAGGCAGGACCAGGGCTTCCATGGAAAAGCTGCAGAAAAGCACCTGGCCTCCTGGTGTCCTAGTGCCAGGTGAGATCTGCCTGCCTCTCTCGGTGAGGGGGGTGGACTAGAAGGGCATTGACTGGGGATCCCCGGGGGGTTGCTCTGATTCCTGCTTGTGAAGGCAGCTGATCCGGAAGGGGCATTTTCCATCATGGCTTGATACTCTTTCGTCCTTGGGAGATCCTCTAAGCTGCCCTTAGCCAACATGTGAGCACAAATGGGTGTTCAGGGCTGCCCCTTGAATGAGTGAAAACTTTCATGGCCGTCCACAGAAATAGGGTGACCCACTGTCCCAATGTGCCTGGAGTGCAGGAGTTTCCTGGGACAAAGAAACATCCCAGGATGGTTGGTCACCCGGCATAGCCAGGGGGACTGCAGGCGTCCTGCCAGAGAGCTGGCGTGCTCACAGTGCCCAGGGGAGCTACACCAAACCTCTGGTGGTGCAAGGGTGGTGCGAGGGCACCCCTCCTGTGGCACTGGCACACCAGCCCTGCGGTATGATGCTGAGTGCAGGGAAGGGAAGCCAGGAAGGATGAGGCAGGCTACCCCGCTGAGCTTCCTCTCTTTGGGGCTCCCCTGCCTACTTACTCAGCTGCTGGGCCTTTCTGTGCTTGGTAAAGATGGGTCTGGGCCTCTGCCCATCCTGCCCTGATCCTCCCCCCCGCCCGGAGTGCTCTCAGATGGAGCCAGGCTCCTGAGCTTCTCACAGGCTCACCTGGCCTGGACCTGCCCTTCAGGGAGAGGGGGAAGGCAGGAAGCAGGAGAGGGTTCTGGGGAGGATGATATGGTCCCCGCTTTTCTCTGTGCCAGCACGTTCCTGTCTACAGGCCCTGGAGTCACCGTGGCTGGCTGAACCCACTGGGTGAGTGAGCTCTGAGGTAGGGTCAGGAATTAGCATGGGACTCCCAGGGGAGGAGAAGAAGAGGAGGAGGACAGGTGGACACTGGCACGGTGGGTGACAGGCAGGGGGCTAGGCCCTGAGGGGTGGGGTGCCCAGGAAGCACGTGAGCTCTAGCTGCTGCTCTCCTGTGGGTCCGCCCTGGCTGAAAGCTGAGTGGGAACTGTGGAAGGTATGGGGCCTCTTGAGGGGCCCCAGAGAATCTCAGAGCAGGCAGGGCCTCTGGAAGAAAGATGCTGCTGTCCCTTGCACACCTACCCTCTGCAGAAGGAAAACCTCTGGGTGGTACCCAGCCTGAGCACTGCCCACCCAGGCCGCGGAGCGGGAAGGAGGCAAGGGAGTTCGGAAATGCACACGCTGCCTCTTGGTGGCTCAGTGGAGGGGAGGGGGCACTTGCTCCAGCGGTCTCCACTCCCAAAGGGAGTCAGCCCTGGCCCAGGCCTCCGCACCGCCCATGGAGAAGGAAAGACATACCAAAGAAAAAGCCAGTTACAGATGAGCCCCGCACCCCTGCCCCCCCATCCCCGTCCCCCGCCCCACTGCACCCGAGAGTCTGCACACAGCCAGGAGGTGAGAAACCCCTGCCTCTGGGACAGCTCAGAGCCATGATACAGGGGTTGAAGGTGGAGGCTGGTGGCTGTGGAGGTCTCCACCTCGGTCTGTCCGTTTGTCCGTCTGTAGGTGGGTATTGGTCCGTGTGCAGGGCCATCAGACCTTGGCCTCCAGCATCTCCAGGAAGAGTTTGTGCATGGGCACTTTGCCCTGCAGTTTGACGCTATAGAAGTGCTGCACGGCCTTGGCGGCCGTCTGCCGCAGCAGGGGCAGCGTCAGCAGCAGCTTGCCCGTCCTCCGGGGCTCCTCGTGGCGCTGGCTCAGCTCGTAGTCCTGCAGCGCCTCGTGCAGTAGGTCCTGCAGCTTCTGGACGGCCTCCAGATCCTCGATGTACATGGAATCTGCAGGCACAAGGACGAGCATTAGCAGGCTTGGCCGGGGAGTGCTGCCTGGCATGGGTGCCATCTCGGGGTCCAGGTGGCAGCATGGAGGCGGGCAGGGGTATCTTCAGAACCCTCGCTTCACAGAGAGCCAATCTGAGGCTCAGAGAGGTTAACTGCCAGTCGGAGATCACAGAAGATAATGACAGAGCTGGGGCTCAAACCCAGGGAGAGACTGGCATCTACAGGGGACATTTCTCAAGAGGTCACCAGGGGGTGGCAGCAGAGACACTGGAGCCAGACTTGAAATCCTGTGTACCTTACTTGCAGGCTGTGTGACTTTAGGCAAGTTATTAACCTCTCTGTGCCTCATTTTCCTCACTTGTAAAATGGGATAATAGCCGTGCCTACCTCAAGGGCTTAAAGGAGTTAAACAGGTCAAGGGTTTATAACAGAACTTGTCACAAGTCAGTGCCCTGGTAGCAGTATCACCCTTACCACCGCCCCTAGCCCCATCATGGCTAACACCATGACAACCACTGCAGCTGCCGCTGCCAGGCACCAGCTCCCCAAGTCTTCAGTGCAATCGCTAACCTGACAAAATTCTGTTTATAGGACACAGAATACAGGCACAGATATAGGGGCTGAGCTCCGTGTCAGGGTGCCTGTGGTGGCAGCATGGGGCACGGTGATGGAGGGAGCTGTTGGGAGTTCTCTAAAATCTTGGGAAAGGTTTTGAACTTAGGCCATGACCTAGGGGTTCAAACAAAATTTACCTATATCCCAGCATAGCAGGGAGGCACCTGCTGATGGCCACGTGACAGCTGGGTCTGAGCCGGCTGAAAAACATGGGAGTGAGATCTCAGGGTTGCGGTGAGGGTGACTGAAGCAGCACATTACCCAGAGCTTGGTTAGCACCTAACCAGTGTCAGGTAGTGTTATTCCTGTGGGGACTCAGGCTGGGGTGAGTGTCCTTGCAGGGCTGGGTCTTCACTGGCCCCACATCCAAGCCTCCTCCACATTTTTCTGCTCCCTGCTACCAAGGCAGTAAGCACTCCTTCGTCATCAGGTGAGAGATGAAGCAAGGCCCCATTCCTACACTCTCGGCCACTTACAGAGTGGGTACCTAACGTGGCTGGGCCCTGCCATCTGGGCTCCTGTCTCTTGCCAGCTCCCTCTCCCCGCCCTCTCCATCCTCCCCCTACTCTCCCCAAGGAGGTCAAAATTGGCAGCTGCCTTCGACCAAAAATGAAATAAAATAACATTGCAAGATTAATTTCTTTGCAATCCATCAGCAGGTCTGTATTGATGGCATTGATAAACTGTTAATTACAAAATCAATGGCTATGAATTTTTCCTGCTGTCAGGGAGCTTTGGGGATGGCTGGGATGTGGGGTAAGCGGCAGCCAGCAGGCTCCAAGGGGGCCATGGTGTGGGGTCACAGTCTGCCTCTGATGTGCTTGGGCACTTCTGCCCAGCGTCAGCCCCCTGAGCTACTGGACCCACACCTGAATCATCCCGTGCACTCAGCCTCAGCAGTGGCACCCATGGTGGCCCTGGCGGCTGCTGCTAGGACACCTCAATTGTCTCCTGGCACCCATCCCTTCTCCAGCCAACACATTTTCTCTATTGTGCCTGGGTGATGTTTCTCCGTCAAGGCTGGGGAGGGTCACTTCCGTACAATGCTTCCTGTCTCCCTGTACTGACCCCATCACAATCCAATCCCTTCACAGCCCTTGAGCTTCTGGTCTGAGCCCAGCCTGCTTTTCTAGTCTCTCCCCCAAACTGGCCTGTTCTTTCCCCATTTCCCGCCTGGAGCCAATGGCCCCACTACAGAAGTTTACCCTCCCTCTTCCCATCCTACCGAATCATCTCTTGCTTTAAGACCCCACGCAGCGTCTGCCTCCCCAGCCGAAAACAATTTACTCTTTCCTCCTTGAGCCCTTTTCATGATCCTCTCTTATGCCAGGAATCACTGGCTCTTTCTGCCACATTCGAGTTCATGTCTTATCTCCCTTGGAAGCAGGGGCTACCTCCAACTGGCTCCTCTTCCCCAGGCCACTCACTATGCCCCGCAGAGCCCAACAGAAACACAGTGAGCTAGGAGGGATCTGTGCCAAGCACGGTGCCCACGGCCTTATGTGCGTCACTGCACATTCTTCACAATGAGCTGCTGTTCTCCCCATTTCACAGATGAGGAAACTGAGGCTTTCAAAGGTCAGGTTGCCAGACACTCAGCCAGCAGGTGGCAGAGGCAGCACTTGAACCCAGGTCTCACTGACTCTGAAGTACACGCTTTAAACCCAGCCTGCTCAAAGTGTGGCACACAGACTGGCTCCTGCCTGCCCTCTGGATGTTACTGGTCTGTGATAAGAAACTGAGAGTAAGCATTTAGAAACTTTACAGCACTTTGGAAGGATGAGTTATATTTATGTCTGTTATATGTAAAACTGTAAAAATCTGACTCATGTTTTGTACATCTGGTTTTTAATTTCATTTTTCTAATAATTTATTTCTCTTGTATTTTACAAAATGATCTATCCATAATGGATTGAACATTTTGAAACATCTGAGAATGGGTCCTTCATCACAGGTACTTTGGCAAGCGCTCCTTTAAATCATTACTTTATTTTTTATTTATTTATTTGTTTCTGAGAAAGGGTCTCACTCTGTCGCCTAGGCGGGAAAACCATTACTTAAAAAAAAACACTAGCCAGCCTGCTTTCTGAGTATCTACTCGGTAGCCACAGGGCCTCATGCTCAATCTCTCCGTGCTGGGAAGGAAGCATTCCCGTCATCAAGGCCTGCGGCTCTCTGGAATAAGCAATGTCTGTCAACTCTTGGGGGTCAGCCAAGGCCCTGAACATCACAGACTCCTCCTCCGCCTCCAGCTTCTCATCCTGTGCGCCAGCTGCAGGATGGCTCTCTACGTGTCACTGGGGCAAGAAGTCCGGAGACCTGAAACCTCATACCATGTGACAAAGTGCACTCAGGCAAAGTCTGATGCCAACAGAAGCTCCTGATGGACTCGTATCGACAAACCACCACAGGTCCTCAGGTGGGGATGTGTGTGTATGTGTGTATACACATGTATGTGGGTGCATATGTGGGTACGTGCATGCACATATGTGTGTTCACATGTGTGTGTACGTGTGGGTGTCTAGGCATGTGCATGTGTTTGTATGTATACATGTGCATGTGTGTATGTGTGCAGGTCCATGTGAGATCAAGGGAAGAGCAGCTGAAAGCTGGTGTGGTGTGGTCCAGTACTGAGGACCAAGTAAGAGTGGAGGAGACACCACCTCTTTATTTGCCTCTCCCAACACAGCCAAGATTGAGCTCTGTGTCTGGTGTAAGTAAGGAGAGCCCAGAATAGAAGACTTGAGCTCTAAAGCCTGGCCAGCCTTCCTGTACCTGGCTTTGTGCACCTTGCTTCCTCTGCTTTAACTGCTTTTGCTCCTCCTCCACCCGTTGGAACCCCCAAGCCCTCAGCAATGCCTGGTTCAAATGCTCCCCTCTGTGTAGGTGAAGCACAGGACCATGATGCTATTCTGTATGATATGTCATTGTAGAAACATGTTATTATGCATTTATCAAAACCTATAGAACAATACAACACAGTCAGCCAGGTGCAGTGACTCATGCCTGTAATCCCAGCACTTTGGGAGGCTGAGGCAGGTGGATCACCTGAGGTCGGGAGTTTGAGACCAGTCTGACCAACATGGAGAAACCCCGTCTCTACTAAAAATATAAAAATTAGCCAGGCATGGTGGCACGTGCTACTCGGGAGGCTGAGGCAGGAGAATGGTTTGAATCCAGGAGACAGAGGTTGCGGTGAGCCGAGAACACACCATTGCACTCCAGCCAGGGCAACAAAAGTGAAACTCCATCTTAAAGAAAAAAAAAAAAAAAAGAACAATACAACACAAAGAGTGAACCCTGATGGAAATTATGGGCTTTACTTAATAATATGTCAATATTGAGTCACTATTTGTAACACATTACTGCATTAATGCAAGATATTAATAATTGAGGAAACTACTGGGGAAGGAGGACTTGGATGGAGTGGGTGTCTGGAACTTTATGTACTATCTGCTCAATTATTCTGCAAATTGACCGGGTGTGGTGGCTCACATCTGTAGTCCCAGCACTTTGGGAGGCCAAGGCAGGTGGATCACCTAAGGTTAGGAGTTTGAGACAAATCTGGCCAACATGGTGAAACTGTGTCTCTCCTAAAATTACAAAAATTAGCCAGGCGTGGTGGCAGGTTCCTGTAATCCCAGCTACTCAGGCTAAGGCAGGAGAATTGCTTGAACCCAGGAGGCAGAGGTTGCAGTGGGCAGAGATTGCACCACTGCACTCCAACCTGGGCAACAAGAGCAAAATTGTCTCAAAAAAAAAAAAAAGTTATTCTGTAAATCTAAAACTATACTTTAAGAAAACAGCATTAGGATTCTCTAACAAAGAATGCACTACAATTTTGGAATTCAATGTGTAAATGTTCTCTGTGGACATATGTAAAACTTTTATTATTATTTTACACTCATTTATTATTAACAAAAGATTTGAACTAAAAAAGTGACATCCTTTTCTGTATTAGATCAGGTTCCCTGGGAGCAGAGCCTGAGGCAGGGGTTTAGGTAGAGACATTTTGGAGGGCATGTGTTCAGGAGAAAGGAAGTGGAGAGGCAGGAAGCACAGAGAAGGAGAAAGCAAGGCAAAGATGGGACCTTGGCTTAGCCTGAGCCCATGCAGGGCTCTGATCTGGACTTTTGTTCCCGTGTGGGTCCACCACTGCCTGGTGGTGCCAAGAAAAGGGCCACATAACCCTCTGGGCAAGGCAGAGGAGGGCAGGCCCTGCAAAGGGGTACCTATGAGTTGTTAGCAGCTGGGGGATGGATGCACTAACCCAGTAAAAGGGATCCAAGTGGGTCATCAACAGCACCCCCTGCATGCGCCATGAAGCCATGTGCTAGGGCAACCAACTGTCCCAGTTTGCCAGGGACTGACGAGTTTCCTGGGGTATGGGACTTTCAGTTAAAGCAGGACAGTATTGAGCAAACCAGTTGGTTACCCTGTGTGTACTGTCTACATCTGGGAGCCAGTTCTCCCTCTTCCATATGCTAATAACACTTTGGGTCCTCTGTCATTAATAATAATGATAATATTTAATATTTATTGAACATTTCCTCTAGGCCAGGCACCGGGCTGAGTGCTTTATTGTCAGTCGATCTTTAATACTCACAAAAGCACTTGGGGATGGGCGTGGTAGCTCACATCTGCCAAGGCGGGTGGATCATTTGAGGCCAGGAGTTTGAGACCACCTGGGCAATATAGTGAAACCCTGTCTCTACTAAAAATACAAAAATTAGCTGAATGTGGTGGTGCCTGCATGTAGTTCCAGCTACTCAGAAGGCTGAGGCACGAGAATCGCTTGAACCCGGGAGGCAGAGGTTGCAGTGAGCCGAGATTGTATCGCTGCACTCCAGCCTGGGTGACAGAGCGAGACTCTGTCTCAAAA